TTTGCTTTGCTCTCTCCTTACTCGCCCCTTTTAATTTTACTTACCTCATAAAGACTATCTACTGAACAGACAAACTGGCTGTGCCACAGTGCCGGATTGAACATGTGGGCAACAGGGGCGCTTGCCTGAGGGGCCCATGGCAATAAGAGTACAGGCTGAAAATCTGTATTCCTCTGATTTTACATGAACATACCCTCTSTAACGGCAGTAGAATACCGTCTCTTATTTTCATTAACCAAATTTTATTCAACATTCCTTTTTATTCCTTAAATTAATTTTTTTATTCTGACTTTTTGTTGTATTATTATTACTATCAATATCATTTGTAATCCTAATCCTCTATTTTATTTTGTCCTGCAACCTCTGATCTCTCGATGTCCAGTGCGTTGGGATACTTAAGGTCYGTCCGTTGGTTGGATTTCACTACTAAATCTGTTACCTACACCCATTACCTCTAACATGGTCTATGATAATTAGCCTCCTCAGATGTTAACTATAGAACTTTTTGAACCCTTTACTGTTCTGAATTTTTTAGTAATAYGTTCTTTAGTTCCTCGCCCGTTAGCCCACTATCTGGGCTGTTTTGGTGGCATCTCACAATGGGGTTGTTTCTATCTGTAACCTTGGCACTTTACTTTAGATTAGGTAGTCTGGTTTCACCTGGCAGTGATGAAGGCAAGAGTTGGCCTATGGGGTCTGTTCTGGGAGGGGGGTGGGTTTGGGTGAAACCTGAAGTTCTACTGCTGTTATTGACGCTGTGAACTGTATATGAAAAATGCAAATAAATAAACTGTTTAAAAAAAAAAAACAATACTAGGATGGCGAGCTAAACATATCGTTCTCTAACTAACATGGTTGAGCTTACTCTCCAAACACACAGTCACCTTCAGTTTAAAAGTATTTTCACCATAAACTCGAACACTCTCATGTCAGTTTAATAATTGTAGTAAATTGTAGTGAACAATCAAACTCTTCTTTTAGCATCATCATTACAGGTGGTACCTTGCCTGGAGGCTAACCCAAGGCTAATTCATTAGCTGGCTGATTAGCGGAGCTAAGCTAACAAGAAACTAATAGGACATCAGTACCTGTTCATCACTGCAGATTTAAAATAAAATACTCCATTTTACTTGCCACAGAAACTGGAGCACACAGGTCTTTGACTTCTCTGTCAGGTCAATCAGCCGTACAACAAACTAYATTATTCATCTGATATGTGAATGAAAACCTGTCATGTTCAGTGACAAGGATTAGCCGGTTAGCTCAGATAAAGCCAAGCAGTCAACAGGCTAGCAGCCAGAGAAACARCTAATGGTAAGATCCCCTTTCAATCAATTGATAATTATGCATAATTTCAAACCTCTGATTTATCTAAACAAGTAACAAAGAATGACATCAAAGAGAAAAGATCAAAACATTCCCATTGAGTTGGTCATTTGTCTTTGATGTAAGGTGATGTCTATGTCTAGTGCAAAGCTTTCTGTAAATAATGATCTCAAAATTCTCTGAAGAGATTCAGAGACCCCCAAGAAAAATTTAACTAAAAGTAAGAGAATTTGCCACAGAGTATCAATTTCAACATCCATACAACAATGGCAACTGTTAGCCAACAAGA